TTCTAATACCCTTGGGTCCCTAGTCAAATTAGTTCTTTATTTATTATCCCAGTTCTCAAGTATCTTTCAGATGGGCTCATCCATTGTTCCCGTACAGCTGGGTAAACAGACAAAGTCAATTCTATCATCCAGGTTTACCTCATAGCATTCAAAACCTTTTGCATATGTGGGATTTTATTTTCTTTAAGCAAGCTAAGAATGCGTTTAAAGGTGACCTGTGATGAAAAAAAAAAAAAAATTGAAAAGTTTCGTGACAATCACAAAGGAAAGGCTTCCAATGATTGACACGTTTTGGTATCTTTTTCAAAGGAACAAAAAATAATAATTCCAATAATCAGTGTCTGAAGATTAATATGTAATCAGCCTTATTAAGGAAAAAAAAAAGACAATGATACAGAAAAGAATCATCGTCACTGACACATAAAGAAAGAAAAGCTTTCTAGTTCTTGCAGAAAAAGGTTTCCTTTGGACTTTATCGCGAAATGACACAACTGCATTCAACAATTTTTAAGATGAAGAAGAAATTCAAGAGAAATAGTAAAATTAGGAAAAAATTTAAAAAACAACAAAAAACAAACAAACAAACAAAAGTAGCCTCCCCAAAAGTCAATTTTTTTAAGATTTTATGATACACCCAAAGCTGACCAGGTCCTTCAGGATGTTCACACTGGTGCTTAGCATAGAACAGTACCTTGTTCCTGATGAGTGCCACTGGCAGACCCCAAACAGGAGGCAAATGACATAATACACAGGAAGAGGGGAGACGATACACTGTGGAAAATAAATTCTTGATGTTCCTTTCTGTCTATAATCCCACTCCACATCCATATTTTTTCTACACGGGGAAGAAGAACAGAAGCTTCACACACGCACACATACCAAGAATCTTTGTGCACCAAGGGAATTAGCAGATGTATTGGTAATCTTTCACAAATAAGAAACAAAAGCTGCCAGCTGTACTTGTAATTCAAGGATTAGCATTAATAAGCACAGTTGAGATTACAGGTATTATCTTTCTTTAAGGTGATGCAGATGAAGAACCCCAGTTCTGCAGAAACTCAGCCACTGGTCCAACTTCTGTGCCTCAAGTCCTACCCTACACTGCAGAGCATCTACAGATTCATTTGCCAGAGACTTGCCAAAGCAAACTGGATTCTTGCCACCGTTTGAGATGGCAGTGAAGCAGTAAGTATATAAAGTAGGTCAGACCTGATTACCTAGAACAAGGGCAATTTTCTTTACATGTCTGTGTAAAGCTTCTGAAAATGGTAAAGACTGAACATTTGGGAGCTGCAGAGAGAACATCCAAAAATCATTTTTGATAAAAAAGGTTTAACTACATTTTAATATGAATGGTATTTGCTATTAACATCAAGGCAGAAGCCTATTTTTCAGTAGAGCTCTTCCTTTATACAAGTGCTATCTCTCTGAATCTATCTGAGTCAACTTTAGTGACCACTTTAATATTCACTTTACAATTAATGCTTCTTTTTATGGGTTGGTAGAAGGTAAACCAATTTCAGTTCGGCTTCTAGGTATTGAATTTATTATAAAAAGTTATGTACTTAAAACTCCTATAATGAAACCAGAGGCATCATGAGATATTAACCTAGAGTTAATGCTGAGAAGGCCAGTTTGAATAATTCAATTCATGTCACCTTAAGTATCTTTTCAAATGGAATTAACTTTATCTCACAAAAAAGGAAGCTCCATGTTCCAGTTACTGATTATTGACTCCACAAGAGTTCTGACTTAAATCATCTTACCACCATCTTCCCAGCAGTTTTATTTCACTACTACCAGGATGCTTCTTTACATTTTGAGGGCTGACTTTCGTTATAAAGAAGCAATATTAGGTAAGAGGAAAACACAGTTTCAGAATTACTGCTATCATTAGGTGCTACTAAAAGAGACAAAAATAAAACTTAACACCAAAGTATCTGCATTAGTTCAATATAGCTACAAACCAGGGCTGTGTTTCAGCCACACACATGCAGCTACTGCAGTCCTCTTCCCATACAAGTCCATCTCTTTTTGCAACAATGCCATCGATGTCTGGTAATGCTGCAGCTCTCTTGACCTGTTAATTGTCCTATTCTAACAGAAGGCCCTGCATGTAAGCACTGAGAGGAGACGGTTTCAAATCTATGCCCAGAGGAAAGTGACAGCTCATGGTCAGCACTATGGTGCTTAATAATGAGGCAGACAGGCAAAAAGCAGAAGCAGGAGATGTTAAGATTTAGGTGTAGCATTAGAAATTACTCCAAATAAACAAGCAGGAGAAAGAAGAGAAAATGAACAGAAACAAGAAAGAACAGCTGAGAAAAGGTAGAATAAAGAACAGCATCACTACAGAGTACAACTGTGGAGTCCCATGTTTCTGCAAGACACAGGAAAATTGGAACATTGTACATCAAAACACAGATACCCTGGTAAGATCAGCAGTGTCCTGAAATAGGAAGAAATTATTATCTCTCCTAGACAGTCCTATGAAGAGAAAATTATGTGGCAAGATAGTATATCCTGATTTAAATTCAGACATATCCAAGACTTCCTTATGTCAGCCAAAAACAAGAAATAGACAAGAGATTCCAAACTAATCTGGATTCAAACAAAACTGAGGAAGACTTTCTTTAATCCAATATTTAAACAAGATGGCTTTTGTTGAAGTCCAGCTTAAAACAGAAAGGAACAGCATAAAAGCTTCAGTGGTGCAGAAAGAGCTGGAGTGGTCAGCACTCGAAACAGGACAAAAGTGTTCTGAGTCTGTCCCCTTTCCTCTCAGAAATCCCTCTCTGTTGTGTTCCCATGTGGGATTGCCCACTGAGGCAGACAGCAGAATGCCTGCCTGAACTACTGTGTTAAGACAATACTCAAACAGAACGAAGAGACCCATCACGACACTCACAGTTCAGGTATTAAGACAAGAGGTATGTGACAATGACACAAAAATCCAACGAGAAGCAACCCAATGACCTTTCTTGGGTTTGGAAAGCTATCACATGGAGCAGTGTGTTAGGGTGAGACAGCCCTGCAAATCTCTCCACAGGTTCTGAGCTGTGAGGAGAAACACAGTACAAAGGGCTTGTTCAGGGGAAAAAAATGGTAATTTATAAAGTGAAATGCAAAGAAAGAGAAAACTGAAGAGGAAGGCTAGAAACATCAGAAATATTTTGCAAGCTATGAGAAAAAAAACAGTTGAAGCATGCTTTGACAGGTTTTTATCTATGCCTACAAAGCCTTGCACAGGGCAAGAGGAGTAGGGTAATTTCAGACCTATTAGGCTGGAGCTGTAGAGTATGTAACCATAAATGAAATGTCAAGGCAAACCTCGATATAATATCTGAATTTGCATTTGCGGACAAAAGCACATGTAAGTATAGAGAAAAGAAATAATTGGATCAAAGCCTGATAGAACTTTGCACATGAAACCAGAAAGCAACTTTAAAGAAGTCTCTGTATTTACACTGATTGAGTGATTAGGAAGACAGCCGAACAAGAGGAGATGAAGGTGGACTGCTGAACTGCCTGATGCTGATTTGACAGTCCCTGGGATGAAGGTTTCCTATTATCTGCTTCCATGCTTTAGTGCTGTAGATGTGGTGGTATCAGATACCTCTATTCTAGGGGCTAACCTAGTACAGAATAAGTGTATTTGAAGTCAAAAGGAAAGAGATGATGTGTTAAGCAGGGCAAAATCCCAAACACAGCTGCCACAGTGCTGTTGAACTACATGGGCTCCTCTGGACTGTCTTCCATGGAGATCCCCAGCAAGCTGCATACCACAAGCCTCAACACAGACATCACCCATTCTGAGAGAAAAAGATTCTTGTTTCAAACTCAATGCCATTACAAAATGGATGGCAGATAAAAATACAAAAGAATGGAAATTAAATGTTTATAAAGATTAAAACTCTGACAAACAGCTCAACGTTCAACGATGTATTTTACAAATAAAAACCCATCATCAGGATAAAAAATAATTCCTGATGCTGATGAACTCAGAGTATTGCTACCTGCTTCCTGAACAGAATCAGAAGACTCCTTCCTGCATAGGCTCCTCAGAAGTAGGATATGTCTGTGTAATTCTCATTGTAGGGAGCCACTGAGATGCCAGAATCCGGCCTCCTTCTGGATGCTCTGTGCTGATAACTTTACTTCTAGCCCTATTAAAAATAAGCCTTTAAGACTGTTCTAGCAAAAGAAAAGATCAAGGGCATAACCTGCACAAAAAGGCATGGTCTTAGGTAGGATGGATTCTGGAGATCCGCAGAGGGAAGCTACTGAAAAAAAGCAGCAGGAAAGAACATCAGGAAGAGCGCTTTCACATAAGCAGTCTTCAATTCCAAGGTACTATCTGCTATCAGCAGGGATGCAAATCAAGTACCTTGCTATCAGAAAAAAAATCTCAAGCAACCATGTTTTCAAGGCTCTGGGCAAATACATCTGAGAAACACTTTGCCACTTAATTTAACACGTACCTGTAGTCAACATTTTCTGGCTTTAACCGCATATATAACTATAGGTCTTCTATAAACAGCTCAAATCAGATGAGCTGCTTTACAGACTTGAGAAAGCTCTTATTGACCAAATACATCATCTGTAATGCTCTTTTCAATCATCAAAAGCCACAGTGAAAATGTGAAAGGCTATATCTAGAGTGACTGCAATTATTTTCCTGTTTAAGAAACAGAACAGAAAACAGAAGAGCATTTTAACTTCTTCCTTGGCAAAGGTGTGTGTTCCTGTGATTCCTACTCCAGTACAACATGGTCAATTAACTTCACCCATTTTATTGACCCAAAACTTGTGGGGCTTTTTTTTGTTTGTTTTATTGCAATCCATGTATTAAGGGAAGGACTAATGAGAAACCAATCACAAAACAGTATTCAACACTTTATGATGCAAGACTATACACTTAAAGTTACGGTTCTAAGAAAAGAGAAAAGATGTTTTGAATGTCATTTGGGAAAAAAAAAGATGGGGAAAAAAGAGCTTACCTTCTGCTCCTTCTCCTTGGCAGCACTGAGTTCAGAAAGGGAGTGTGATAATTTTTCCTGCTGCTCAGCTAGGTACTTCTGATAAAGACTCAGAAGTTCTTGGCATTCTCTGTACTGCTGCTGCAGAGGTGAGACATCAGAAGTTAAGGGAAAAACATTCTTTAGTGAACAGTTAGAGTCAAATATATACCAACTTACTCTGTGTAAATCTGATTTAGATCCTTAACAGTTCAATTTAAAAACAGATACTGTGTGTTTGAGTACTGCCTAATGATGATAAATCTGCCTAGAGATGAATGTTCAAGTACACCCTTCTTTCTACTCAGAGAGTGGAAAAAGAAGAATTGCACCAAATTCTTTTATCACTGGCAAAGGGACAGCAGCAGGAGGCAGGTGATGACATTGTTTCAGTTGGAACAACTACAACCCTCTGATTCGTATTCAGCAGAGCCAGCCATTACCAATGTTTATTTATAAATAAATAAATACCCAGCCAAGTAAGTAAACAGTCCGTTTTTAAGCACAGACATGGATTCACAAGCCCACATATCCAAATCCAATCTCTTTGCTTGAGCACCAGTGGCTCAAAACCCCACAGCCACAGATGCAGCGCTACAGGCCTTTCAGAGACCGGTAATAATTTTTGGACAGTAATCTGGAGAAGCAGCAACTGTGGTGTTTGCAAGGATATTAGCAACAGTGTCCTGCCTTGCTTGCAGCATTGAAATTCCAACAGGAGATAAATCTGCTCTTCACCTGTCATTGTGTAATTCCCTCCCTTGCTCATGTAGCATGGTAAACCATTTATGCTCCCCTCTCTCCCCCCTCACTTTTAATTATGCATGCAGATGGGATAAGGGCTCGCTGTCCAAAGAGATTACTCTGAATAAATACTTTAATAACAAGTCACTGCAATTAAGGTAGGGAACAAAAACTTCTTCAATCTATAAAACGGTGTTGAGTTACAGATTTCCTTAACATTTTTATGATCTAATCATTGCTTCTGGGCAAATTCATGTTGCAATCATTTTTGCCAATCATGGCTGCATAAATAACTCACTGCTTTGTTATTCCCTGTTATGACCCTGAGGGTTTCTTTTTTTTTTGTTTGGTTTTGTGGGGGGTTTTTTCCCTTCTTGTTCTTTCGCAAGAAGGGTGGACTTACCAGGGCTTCTTTTCTGCTGTTGTTTGGTTGCTTTTCTTTCCTTTAAATAAAAGGCTACCAAGAAAATAGGCAAAACATTTTAGGAAGGAATGGAAGGTTAATAAACCCCAACACTGAAATCAATCAGGAGAGCTCTTCTAACACCTCTGCTCAGCACCTGGAAATATGGGAGGGTACAAACAACAGTCTTAACAAGCTAATTGCTTTCCAGAGCCAGCCTGCCTGAAGCCTGAGCTGTTTTACATTTCACTTCATTTCGTCAGAGAGCACCAAAAGGCTGAAGTGATTTGTGGTGGTCTCAGGAGTCTCTGCCAGCTATGATGTATATAAAAGGAATTTTTTATTCCAGTTGTAACCATAGGCAGTAATGTTTATAGTAGGTGAACATATTAGCCTGGACGCAGGGCATGAATTTTACTCTAGAAAAAGCCAGTTCATTTATACAGCCTAAGAGTTAAATGTCGGTATTTGAAGACAAATTATAGGGAAATTCATTTAAACCCATGTTATGTGGCAGAATATAAAAACAGACAGTCCTATCTTTATCAATTTTTTACAGCCCTCTTAATTCACTTTGCTTGCAGCAACCCCTTCCCCACAAAACAGATTTTACCCTCTCCTCCCTCCAGCTAGCACACTGCTGGCACAAGGAATGAGCACCTAAACAGCCTTGGGGCACACAACTGATGGCCACACACCTACCCTCACTCTTGCCACAGTGTCATATCAGTCCTGCTGGAAAGCCAGGCAAGCTCCTCCTCACTCCCAGGCAAGTGTACCATTAAAAAGATGCCCAAATTGTGTTTTATGGCCTGCAGAGCACTCGCTGTGCACGTGATGCCACCCCTTCTTGCGTGCAGCGACCAGATTTATTTAAAATAGTCTAAAACATGACACGCAAAATTAACATTAGCAAAGTATGCAAGCAAATCCTGATTGCCCAAGGGTCACTTACATGGTCATGAGTGGGAAGGGCAACAGCTCACACAAGCTTGAATGGCAGCCAAGACATCCCTAAAATTCTTGTAAGATTCGGTTGGCAACAGTAACAGTTAAAACTCTCTGTATTAGAAGATTAAAATTTTGTTCATTCACACAATCACTCTACATTAAGCAAAGTATTGTTACAGCCACCATAGCCTAAGAGTTTAAAGCCCTGCTTTGCTTACTAAGTAAGTAAACATGAAGCTTCAAATATGAAAAAAAGAAGTTCATTTGTTTAAGACATGCAGAATAGCTGAAAATATGGTAATTCTTAAAAATGTGCTGGTACATTTACTGCAGAATATGTTCTTAAGAAGAAAAAAAAAAAGCCTTAATATTAGATTTTACTCTTCCATTCTACTCAATTTTTGCTAAAAGCAGCAAGATGATCTCTATTTTCTTCTCCTGCAAATTAGCCAGGCAATATACAACACTGCCACAAAAATATTTAAGTCACTCAGATATAACAAGGGTACACATCTACTCAGGCAATACAGTCTCTGGACAAACACATACATAATGATAGATAATTTCATAACCTGCTTTTAAAAATAAAAAGTTGTAAGGTTGAAAAAACTGGATAGGACAAGTCCTACAGATTTGTATTCCACAGAAAAAGTAATATGCCTAAATGCACACATTAGGTATTTCTTCATGTGTTCAGGAGCACAAATATTGGATTTGCAAGATGTTAGTTACCTGAGAGAAGTGGTACTTGGCATTTCACTGAACGGTAGTTTTATGTCCAAGAAATATGCATTGGAATGTATCAGAGTAATACATTTTATGCAGTTTGTTAGTACAGTATTAAGGTTGTACTTGGAAGAGGAGAAACAAAAAAAAATAAAAAAATCAAAATCAGAAATGCAAAGGTTAGGATTTCAACAGCCAAATTTAAGTGCCATACTGCAAGTACTATATATTTTATATAATAAATTAGTTAATTTCATCACTGAATGTAAGTCAAAGAATTAAGAGTTCATTTATGGCTCTTAAGAGATAAAAACCTCAGTGGAGATAGAACTGGCTTTGAGAAGGAGAACTGCCAGCCTGCAGTGGTGAGACGCTGACGGAAGCCAGGAACGGGTGTCCAGGGGGTTCGGCAGGTAACAAAGAGCTTTCTCTTGGGGGCAAAGCTTCACAAGAGGGCACAGCCAACCTAACGCTCAATTGCAGCCAAAGACTCTCCTGCTCACTCCCTCCATCCACACCAGCTCTGCAGCCCCCACACCCCTCACTCCAGGGCTCCACAAACTGACCCACTGAGGCAAAGGAGCCACCAGGCACAAAAGCCGGCACAAGACGAGCAGGCAGAACAGGCAGCAGGGAGCAGAGGACTCCTCTCCCAGCAGCAGCCACCTGTCTGGTAGTGTTTATCCACCTTGCAAAGTCCCAACCCTCCTCTTCCTTCAGTTCCACTCTCAAGCCTCAGGCTTTTAAGTCTGGTCTATGACTACATCAACTACTCACTGTTTACTCCTTGTTGAAATACTTTTAGCCTCTCACAAGCTGAAGTAGGACATGCAATTCCTTGTTCCCAGAAACTGGGGGTGGAAGGGCCAATCTCCAGTGTGCCCACTGACCTCCTGCACTGTACCTGGTGCACCGTTTCCACCGCCACTTTGACTACAAGTGAAGGTCAGCTTAAAATCTGAAGTGTTTTGGTTTAGAGTGTGTGTTCCCACTACAGCAGTTTAAGTAACCATTGGTCTCTTCAGCTGCAGTCCAAGTTTCCAAATTAAGCCAACACCAGTCTACTCCATGAGAGCTATTTGCTGAAGTTTCGCTTTTCTTAAATCACTTCTCGTAAAAGAAAAAAGAAAAAACAAAACCAATAAAACCACAGAGTGTAGAGAACCTTCTCTTTAGAAAAAGGGAGGGTTTTTCTGCCCTGTATCATTACAAACAAATGTCCAGTTTTACCTCCCTTTATTTAAAAAAAGTAAAATTAACTTTGAAGCATCCTCCAATCACAGGAATCTAAGGCTGGAAAAAGGGTTTCTAGAAGCTATTAGCAAGGGAAAAGAACACAGCTAATGAGATTTTTTTTTTTGCACTCAACCTAATAACAAAGGCCCTTCTGTATTATCAGAGTGTTTGTGAGAACTCCTCACCTAGTGACTCTTTCCTCAATGGCTTGTCACAAGTATTTTTGGGACAAGCAGAAGCTCTAATTACACATAGGCACAGTGTGGTACGGTGTGTCTTTGGGCATGTCTGAGCACACAGGGGCAGCCCAGCAGCCCCACACTCCACAAGCCAGCTCCACAACACATGTCTTGCAGCTGCAGGGTAAAGTAGCACAGCTCAGACACAGCACTAACAGACCAGATTCATCTTGCACCTGATTAGCTTAAAGAACAAGTTTGCTTGAGTTCACCCATGCAGACAAAGCCCTAATAGACTTCCCACGCATCAAAGAAGATGCCCAGGGATGACTCATTCCTATATTCCCTGACTTTAGCTCCAGCTTGGGCTGTCCTTTCACTCGGGGCTGCATACTCTGATCCATGGCCAGAACAGAACACAGGAGCTGACTCTCCACCTTCAGCCACAAGATGCTGCAGTGCCATCACGCCCCACATCCAATGGAAGATTCTCTAGAGACTCAGAGCTCTTACAGAGATATGAAAAGATGAATAAAACAAGCAAAGGAAGGAAAAAGTCAAACTCAAGTTAGATTAAAATTGAAATAAGACAGCAATAACTTACACTTTGTGGTAGAGACAAGAAACTTTCAGTGATATGATTTAAGCATATGGAAAACTTTTTGACATCTGCAATCATGACCCCAGTAGCCACAAAGCACAGTTTTTAAAAAATTCCTGCTTAAGGCCATGCATCTAGAAAACAGACTAGTTATCATCATGTTGGCAGTTTCAGCAAAGACCAAACTCCCTTCACTGCCGCAGGTGGTCCCTTCAAGATAAATGCTGTGAAAAACTAGACAGGGTAGGAGATGCTAAAGAAGTGCCACTG